ACAGCGAGACTTGTGTGGGATTACAATGTCAGAAATAGAACTGCACTGTTTGATCCATATTCGCCAGAGTGGGCTCTGTATAATACAAGTGGATTTAGAATAGGTACTATCGGCGTCGAGGATGGTTACAATGGATGGAAGTTCAGTATAAACAAACAATGCCCCCCAAAACTGCGTGGTCGAGTCAGTAAAGAGTCCACTGCTACTCTTGTCATCTCTAATGTCACCAAAGCTGATGAACGGCTATATGAATGTAGTCTGCTGTTATTAGCGGGATCACCAATAAGWAGTAAAGTACAACTGGTTGTTACGGGTAAGGTACACATTCTTTGGTTTACCCCAAAACGTTAAACGCTAAAAACAAATAGGTGACAAACCATTATGACCTATATCGGTACACTAATTGACTGCATTCCATACCAAATAGCATATACTTTAAGTGTACTTGAATGTTTTATGATTAATATATTCACTTGGACACCGTTAATACCAAAGTAATACTTTTAATAGCTCCCAACTAATRATTAATTAATTTGTTGSATCCAGAACGTCCTCGCTTTACTACTCCTGTCAATTTATCTACGCCTATCAATGAGGGATCAAGTCTGTGCATCCGATGTTCAGCAGCTGCAGATCCTATGCCCAACATAACGTGGGTACGAATTATAAAGAACCCAAAATTAATCAGTGAAGGAGTTGGTAAAGCATTTCTCAGATTCACCAACATCACGAGACACCAACGTGGGACGTATGAGTGTCAGGCTACGAATAATCCAAACGAGGATCCAGTTACAACGAGGACCGAAATCTCAGTAAAATGTAAATAATTTCATTTTTATTGATGACTTTGCATAATATTGTATTAAAATTACTGAGATGTAACTATCCTTCAGAAAAAAATAGGTAGTGACAAAAACGTCATATAATAAAGTCGACTGAATGACAGACGGGCCTATCCGATCGACGCTTATCATCACTGCTGACACTACCATCAACCTATTATGATAACTACTCTTTCTGCTATTATTCATCTTCGTTTATCATCGCTACTTTTTTCTTCAATAGACCCTGTAGAACCAACGAATGTCTTCGTTTCTGACATCAAAGCAACTTCTGCAGTGATCAAGTGGCACAGTCCCGTTGATGATGGAGGGAGCCC